ATTGATACACATAAACGATGCAATTTATTGTGAGAGATTCCGCTAAACGTATATATACATATGTACACACAAGATGTATCATTTTAACCCAATTCGAATATCTCAAAGAACACGCATCAAAAAAATATTTCAGACAAAAGTTGTACGGTCTAAGGAAAAAAAATAATAGCAAAATCGCGCATGTGACGCTACTCAGAGTTCCCATTAGAAATAGGTTCTAGCTGCAATTCTTCAATATAATTAAAAAGTAATATATTATTGCGCGATATTGGAGCGTACTGTACAATTATCATTTGTTTTTCACGAGAGGAAAGTTTTCACTATCTCTGTATGATACAAAGTCGGGAAGATAAACGTAATGTACTTTTATATATAGCTCTGGCTGTCTATTACAAGGAACAAGATCCCGTTTTTAAAGCAAAACTCAAGGAGGCTGCCTTGCAAAAACTGTCTTTCTGTCTCGACAAACTCGAGGCTCAAGTTAAGAAGAACGGCGGATATTTCGTCGGAGGCAAGGTAATAACTTTTAATTGCGTGCCAAGCTAATGATCCTTGTTTTGTTACTTTTGTTTTTCGTAAAAAGACAACAAAAAAATATTTGTTGTTTTAGTTATCGTGGCCAGATTTCCTGTGGGCTGCGTATTTTGATTTGCTGAACTTTGTCTTGGCCGAAGATCCGAACAAGGATCATCCCGAATTGAAGAAGTTAGTGGGAAAAGTTCGTGCTTTGCCTAACATTAAAGCTTATCTCGAGAAACGACCCCAGACGCAATTGTAAAACAATTTATAATTTTATGCTCTTCTTGTAATTTGTTACGTGTCAACATCGTTCTGGTAATTATTTTCTCTTGAAACGTTTTGTAAAAGAATAGCGTGCTAACGTGTTACTTCGAATAGCTTCAATCAATTTCTTTATAATTTAACAACAGCTAATATTATGACGTAACAAGTATAAAAAAATTTGTTTCAATGAAAGTGTGTACTTATCGCTTTTTATTTCTAATCCCTTCTTATTTGTTTATTTGAAAAACATTGCATCAATTGCATGTATCTTAAATGGGTATGATTTCAATGTTATCGAATAGAATCGTATTACAGATAGCACAAAATTATTTTAACTCTTTTTCTGATATTTTTACAAATTATTTTGATATCTTATTCTATATACACTCTGTATATGTATTATTATATTTTTAATTGTAGATAATTTTGTGCAAAATGTTACGAGAATATTTCTAATAAAAGAATCTATTCTTGTGGACTTAAATAACAAATGCATTTCAAAATACGTTTTATGACAATGTTAATAGACACGTCGTAGTTGAGCGAATAGCATTACATTAACTAGTTCTAGTATTACGGCAAACGTAATTTTTACGAGAGACTGCAAAAGATAATAAGGTAAGAGCATTATAATCTTCTCGTAACTAACTTTTCGATTAACGAATAGATACGTTTATAAATTCGTGTCTTTAAAAGTATTATATAAAATAAATATAAAATATTGTCAGATTGTGCAAAAGTAATATGTAAATTTAAAATGCTGAAACTTTTGCAGAAATTTAATACTGGAGAAGTCAAATACTTACTTATTTTGAGTATAAAAATACTGTTTGTAGTACTTTTAATACTCAAAATAAGTAATTATTTGGCCCTTCTAGTATTAAATTTCTATAAGGGATATCAATATATTATGTCTCTTTATTGTTCTTCCAAAATTTATAAATACATATTTTAAAATATAAAAGTTACAATAGCTTTTTTAAAAGCGTTTTTATTCGTGCGCGCGGCTGGATTTGTCCACTACAATCAAAGTATATTTGCCGCTATCGGCAAA